TGAATCTCTTTTGAAACTCGTTTTGTTGATATTTTACGGCCTTTCAATAATGGAAAGCATTCATGAATAATATTTTATTCAGCATTCAAAAAGTCTTTAGTATTGATCTATTCCTTTTTTTGGGTTGCGCCCCGCATTTGGCTTTCATACTGAATCGATGCGTAAGACCTATACAGTGGCTTGCGGTGGCCAGTCAATGCACAATTCAGTGTTCTTATCCTCCCAGACAAATCTGGTACCAATTTACCGTTCCCGGAAGGGTGAAAGACTTGTTTGGCCTAGGCGGATATCGACTCGGACCATACGTGTGACATTGAGTCGCCTCCTCCTCTTCATCTCTTCCTTATGTTTCTACTTCGAGAGAGGGTGTCAAAATAAAGTGTAAGTACATGTCTATACATTTTTATTTCAAATTTATGAATTCGTGATATGAAGAATCATTTGTAATTAGCTTCTGTCTTAAAAAACGTCATCAAAGGGATAAGCTGGGCTTAGAAGCCCTACGAGCCACGATAAGCAAAGGTATATCATGAAGGTAGAAATGATAACGATTGGATTATTTGGACGTTGTCAACCGTCACGTACCCTTCTCATTATCGCATTCTTATGTAGCAATAGCTAACTGATTAGCACCTGTTGCGATAAGAACATTTAGCACGTCGTGGTTGCTTCCATTCTATCTTCTTCACGCTATCTATAGTTGTTGATTATATTAAAACAAATTTATGCATAAATACCGTAATATCTTCGACAAATCGTTTTCAAGATGCTAATAACGGAGTCTTGGCATGAATCAATCCTTTTTTGGTATACGTCACGCCTAAGGCTTTCATTTGGAATCGTAATGGCGTTTAAATGCGAGTCTTGCCTATACAATGACTTGTGGTAGCTAGCCGATGTACAGGTCAGTGCTTTCCCCCTCCCCGACGAGTCTGGCATCAAGTACTGAATTATTGGTAAACAAGGCAATAGGTAAAATGCGTGCATACCAAAAATATTACATGGGTGCTCGAATATGGATGAAAAAATTGATGTTAGATCATGGCCTGTGGAGAAAAATAAGAGTTCAAAACATAAAACATATCAAAACAACGGAATTTATAGTCACGATAAGGGAGTTTTATTTATCTATTTATGGGGTTGGATTTGAGTTATGGGGACATTACACTGGAAAACGAAATAAGTTGTATTTATATTTCTTTGGAATCTGTTACGGTATGGTATTCTTGTTCACCGTAATTGGTTGCCCTTCAGCTCGTGTCACACTGAAATTTGCCTGTGAATTTGCATCACCTTCCAGTCTGAAGCGCAATTTTTGCTCATTTTTATATTATTACACAAAAATTTTGCTATATGTTATTCCTTGCCACCTCGGGAAAAATGCCACCAGTTTGTTCCCTCGTTGTTTTTTCCCCTTCATTCCCTATCTGGGGCAACTTCTTCACAACTATTTCCGAGGTATTTGATTGATGTTAGAGTTTCACATTCAGTATGTGGGAGGTATTGGGGATGGACTTCCGGTTTTTCCCTTGGCAATCATCGAAGCGAAAATACATCACTTGCTTAGGTTTCTGCAAAAATTTCATGCATAGGCTAAAAGTAATTTGGTACCCCCCAAAGCTCGATGACACTGTCTTCAAGAGGAACCCCTTTACTTATTCGCTTTCAAAATTTATTTGGTAGATTCATTGTTAGTCCAGAAACTATTTTATGCTGTCTGGACCGAGAAAAACTGGATTTGCAAGCAAAAATACGGCATTTTCAATCCTGCTGGTACGCTTTTGTCAAAAGACCTTCCATTTTCTATGTTGTCGATGTCAATTTTACCTTTGCCCTATGACTGTACCCAAAAAGTTACCTACTTTTATAGTAGTTGGATAAGGCCAACATGTACTGCTTCTCCTACGTCATCACAGGAGGCTAGATCACCTCAAGTTGCCCTGGCGTACGGCGTTATCCACGATCTAGCCTATCTAGCTTCCGTGCTTTTGCACAATACGGTCTTTCTTTTCGGAACCCATTGCTAGCCATTAGTGTCATGGTACCACCTGTTGTGGGGTGTTCTCATCAGGTTTTACACCCTCTTAACATTCTTTGAATGATGTTCAGTATATTACATGATAGCCTCCCCATGATGAGAATACACATAGGTGGGCGCCTATTGGAATATAACTCGGTGGAGCTTGATCAAGAATTTGGGTAAGAAGTTAAGTATCACTGAACCATATGAGATCCATTCGATGCTCCTGGGAGCCCTTTCTACGTGATCCCACTTGTATTGCCGAAGTGCCATTACAGCATGATGGGCGCCCATTAGAATTTACCTTGGAGGAGGTCCGGAGAAGTAAATACGACTCTAATTCATATTACGGCAACATAATAACAAGGGAAAGAGCACGTAGCTTTCCATCTTTCACGGCTTGCAATGCAGAACACACTCACACAAAGAGATCATTTGTCAATGAAGACCTCCCATCTTCATAATTCATCCAGGGATTGCTGGTAAATGTTTAAACTGCTTTCGATGTTTTCCTCGCCGGAATCTTGGCCACACCTCTGACCTCACATCTGTTACCAATCTCTTACTTCTCTACTTTTTGTCTTCGAGAAAGTGATATGAGAGTATCGTATTTCGCATTTGCTGAAAATCCAACCAATCGTAATTATATCTCTCGAGTAGAGTAATGTGATTGTCACTGGGTTTTCGTAGAAAATTGCGCATACTGTAGTTCACACTGAGATACTTTAAGTCAGTATAAGGCACAGTATCCCAAAAGGAGCCTTTGGAAACAATAAATCATGTTAAGGAGCATATTGCCACGGAATATCATATAGCGCCACTTTACATTTATAAGCAAAAAGATACAATGAAACGTATCGAAAGCTTTTCGGGCTCTCTTCAGAAGCCTCTACATAGAGAAAACCTTTCTTTGGCAGTTATAGTACCTTTGCTGTCTGTAGATGAGTCTTAAGGGCACAGTTCACGATAAAAATGGTTTCTCAGATTCCACACACCATGAATTTGTGACCCCCGCATATACCATATCTGGCATTATTAGGTCGGTAAACGGCATAGTTGGGGAGTTATAAAGGCTCAAAGATTGGGCCGTGGGTATCCTCGGACGAATTTCACCGGCTTTGTAGAGGCTGTATCGATTACAAGGGTACCCATGTAGGAAGTTCAAACAACTTGTCATGACTCATTGTGACAGCGAAAGACAGTTCTGTACAGTTCTGGCTTGAGGTTCTCAATTTTTTCCATGTTATTTCTATCATAGCAATCTCGTCCAACCTTTATTTTCCTACTTTTGAGAAGCCATAATTTTCTCGAAATTGGCGAATTCTCTCGCCTTCTTCACCACCAATGAACTATTCTCAATCTATACTTCCGCTTTTTGAATAAAAACGGGTACCTAAAGATTACCGTGAACGGTGCCTTCAAAGTCTTGGTGGCCAAGTAGAGAAAGCATAGATAGCCAACATATATATACTGATATATATAGCGCGATTTTTATTATCTAAGTCTTGTGCTCAACCAAACCTTTCACTCCTTGGGAGCGGTTAATTGGTAACAAATCCGTCTGGGAGGATAAAAGCACTGAGTTGTACATCGGCCGACTACCGCAAGTCATTGTATAGGCCACATTCGCATACAATAGCCACTACGATTTTGAATGGAAGTCGAATGCAAAGGCGCATCCTTAGACGGGATTGATAAGAGCCCAAATTTACCTTCCTTTCTTACCTTTCGTGGCAGCAGAACATCCCTCTCGAGAGCTGAGCTGTGAATAAATTTGGATCTTACCCTTTTCGGCTATACTTGGTTCGATCCTAGCAATGTTCTAGTGCATCTTATGAATTTAGTGATAGTTTGCCTTCAAAGATCGACTGCTCAGGGTTGGAATGGTATTAAAGAGGTTGAAGGGCCGCTGAAATAGTTTTTGCATTGCTCAGACGTGCGATGGCTTTGTGACTCGGTAAGCCCACAGGAAGACCATCGCGGTCATAACCTTTGTGTCACCGTTAAGTAAACTGGAGTGTAAATCTGAATTCTGCGGGACAATTCCGACTTCTGAAAACGGCAATTGGTGGGTATACAGGCAGAGTGATAGGCTCAAATGATCCAAAAATATTTTGGTAGTATCGCGATGGGAGTAGGTGAGAGGGTGTTTACCAGAAGGTGGTAGAATAGGTGCTAAAAACTTCTTCATTGATTTTTATAGTTCAAATACCCCTTCAAACAGTTCTATAATTTTGGGAGAACTCGAATACGTGGCGCATTCTGAAGCGATTTATCGATTGAAGAGCCCCTCTAGTTTTTGTTTACTTGCCATGTTTGATCGGGATACATTTGGTCATGACGTGGGCAATCAAGTAATAAAAAAAAATCTCGAAATTTCTGGGTCCTAGGTTTTTCAGAGCTCTTCCTTTACCTCCCAGTCATCCTCATATTACCTCCCTATCTTCTACATTTGCAGCAGGCTCTTGATTTCATCTCCCCTCCTTACGATTTCGATTTGACATTCGAAAAGCCATTTTTTTCGTTGTCGTAAAATCACATCGCCCACGAAAACAGAATTCCCTTCGATTATTTTTATTGTGTAAAGCAATATGGATTTCTTCGGTTGTTCATCGTCCTCGTCGTGGCAATCATCTCGTGATGCCATCAGGTGTCTGTCCGTCCGTCCGGCCGTATGTGTGGCGCCGACGGCCATTTCTTTACACGCTTCTACTCCGTTGTGATTCCGTTTTCTGTGTCATACTCATTAGTCACACGTTCGCGTTCTTTTCGTAATTTGCGCCTTCTGCCAATTCGTACTCTCCCTGGTACAAGGCGCCCATCTCTTTTTGGCTCGTCCCGTATAAGAGCGGAATTATGCTGTTCGCCCACGTTTGACTCCTTCATCAGGGATCAGGCCATATAGTATCTTTCCGCCCCGGGACTGACAGAGAAGTTCGTTGTAATGGCATTTTTCTGTTCTTATCTATTCATTTCAGTAATGAGCCAGCTTTCGCATCGTGTGGCCCCTCGTCAAGCGAATGGCACACCGCCATGCGTTAATATCTATTGCCACGAGCCGACAAGTGAATCCAGTAAGTTCTGCCAGTTACAGTTTACATCTTTAGGTTTTTATATATTTTTTAAATTTAATTCGGATTTTTCGGAGCTGGTCNCGTCAAGCGAATGGCACACCGCCATGCGTTAATATCTATTGCCACGAGCCGACAAGTGAATCCAGTAAGCTCTGCCAGTTACAGTTTACATCTTTAGGTTTTTATGTATTTTTTAAATTTGATTCGGATTTTTCGGAGCTGGTCAGAGTAGATCTTTATTTGTTATAAAAGTCAGCCTTAACTTAGCAGAATCTAGTAAATTTAGCGAAATTTCCATAAATTGATCCCTCACGAGCCCAGAATCCTTTCTGACATAAATTTGGTGCCATTGTCTTAGATCTACAGGTGCAAGGGTTCCTTGAAAGGGATTATCCATGATTATCCAGGTGATTTGCCTACTGTTCTAACTTTGGAGGTCACTGCTCGTTCCTGAGCTTGTGTAGGGAGACTCCCCGTGAATATAAAGATTTGGTGCGTTTTGTCCTTTCACCGTGCTACGTGTGTAGGGCAAATGGTCAAGGCGTCAATTAGTCAAAGAGCATTTTTTGCTAACTGGAACGTCCTTGACCAAGCGAAACGGTTGATAATTGATTATGTAACAAAATTCCAGATAATTTGGATTGATAGGTAGCCTACCGGCTTTTGCAACCTTTTTTTTCAGAATTTACGCGAATAATACGGCCGTTTTAGAATTTTTAAATCATTTCGTGCTCAATCATTTATGAGAACTTCAAGCCCTCTTGAACATCGTCTTGGGCTAGTTGGCCTTTTTTTACTCTCGTACTCATAGATAAAAGAGCGTCTTGAAGGAGAATTTGACGAATTCTGATGTATTCGCAAGTTGAGGAATAGTTCTTAAGGGAGCATCTAAGTTTTTGAAGGGAATTTGGTTACGTGGCCTATTCCAGGAGTGCTATCCATCTAAGACTTATGGTGGGACTCCTTTTTGGGTCCAACTGAAACTGCATTTGGCGGAGTGTGGGCTGGGAGCCATAGCATGGAAATGAGCTGTTTTAATATTCTCAAATCGTCAAATGTTGTTAGTCATTCACTTCTCTCCATTCATTCTTTGCATGTCATTAGCACATAAATAAGTTTTTTTTCTCTCTTAGCCTAAGTCGAAAAGAAGCCCTCGACCGGGGAGAAAAAAGTATGTTCCTGCCCATTTTGAGGTGGGTGACACCTTTGTTCGAGGGAAAGGGGGTCACAATCATTCAAACTATGCGCTGGGCTGAAAATGGGATATAAGAATTGGTTGATCGAAACACTCTAAGCATTCAATTATCCGAGGGACTGGTTAAATGGTAGATGAATGGGCAACGGACTACCCAAAGATATCTAACGCCTTCCGATTCTGTATAGGTTCTTACCACTTTGAGTCACCGAAAAAACTAACTCTTTGTATACCAGAGGGCCAACACCTCTTAAGGGACTTGCGCTGAAGGACATTCTTCTCTAATTCATGACCTGGGAAAGTTTTTTGCTTGAATCGATCTAGTTCAGGGAGAGGGGAGGATTCCTGCGCTAGTGAGAACTAGGATTATTACGGGATGTACAGGGCTAGTTGGCATATGAGAATGTTCAGTTAATTGTAGATAAACTGATTTGAAAATTCATCAAATCTGTTTCCGCTAACTTAGGGTGGAAGCGGAAATGTTTTGAATGTGTTTGCAAATCAGCCAGTTGATATCTTTCACTCTCCCTCACTGGAGCGGAAGTCGTTCATCCGGTGGTATTGAATGTGTCTGGGAATTTTTAGTGACTTCGATAGATAGGGACACCAGGGGACCACCAGGGGGACACCAGAGCTAATACTTTCTTCACAAAGTTGTATTTAGGGAAGGGGTGGGGTTCTCTAGCACTCACAGCTTAATTTAGCCATCCGTATTGGTCAACAATGGTCGAATTCTGTAATACAGCACAAGTGTTCTCCATGAGCTCCTATGACGGCGACAACGCGGCGCCCATCGGGGATCAGGGTTCAGCTTCGAAAAAACATTTTCAGAAGCTGGTTCTTGATCACTTAGGGGTGCCGGGAGCCAGTGGGAACGGCCTTAGTGGATAATAATTTGGAGGATCCCGGGAAATTTCTAAGTTTGAGCTGAATTACTTGGTTGACTTCTCCCACATGTCGTGTTTTCTTTTGATGTTATTGGACAGGTGTTAATTCTTCTATCTCATTCGCACGAACAGCACAGCACATGTGGGAAACCGCTTTGAAGATCATTCACCTGCCTAAGAAACGCACGCGTTTAGTGTCCCAACAGCTGTTGTGCTAGAAGTGATGGGTTCTTTGATGTTTGACGTTTGTTGGACACTCCTATGACGTCGGTTTTCTGGTTTTCCCAACCTAATCTCAAGTAAAATTGTCTCTGCGAACGTAGGAGGCCCTACGAAGACAGTTAGGGCAGTTCACAATTCATTGTTACCAGGGATCTCCGCAGCACCTTTAATAAAGTCAACCCTGTCTAGCTGGTCGTTCCCTGTCGGGTCATTTCAAAGTATGAGACCACCTTTGTACTGGGGACACATTCCAAGATAACCGGCTTCTGCAGGGAAGTGTGCAGGGCAGGAAAGCTGGCCTAGGTGTCTGAGGAGT